ACTAGAAACATGAAACATGGTTACGTAAAGATGCACAGGCTATGTTTACTGTGACGTCAGCAATGGCCCTGTCCCAAATTGCACTTGTTGAAAATTGTAAAACGTCGAAAGAGATGATCGACAAGTTAAATGCAATTTACAAGCAGACATCAGAAGTTAACAAACTTATGGCTCATGAAAGTTTCCATCAATATAAAATGGAGCCAAATAATTCCATTGCTAAGCACATAGCGAAAATAGAAAACCTCTCAACAAATAAAAGATTGTGGTGATGATATAAGTAACACCGCCATAGTAACCAAAATTTTAAGTACTTTGCCACAAACTTATCGAAATGTAAGACAAGCCTGGTTGTCTATGGATGAAACGAAACAGACAATCAAGAACTTAATAGTAAGATTACTTGACGAAGAAAGAAGTTTAAGTACTGTGCAAGAAGAAGACAGCCCTGGCAGTTATGTTTAAACAAAAACATCAGAAAGAAAAAGATAATAAAAAACGATTCCCGTTTCATTGTTTCAATTGCAACAAACGTGGACACATGGCGAAAGACTGCAGAGCCCCAAAACAAGTAAACAATAAGAAAAATGAAACTGCTTTTGTTACACAAAATGAGGAATATAATTTGGTGACGAATAGTGATGAGCACTGGATCCTAGATAGTGGTGCCTTCGCACACATGACTAGCAGAAAAGAATACTTTGCTGAACTTGAAATTTTAACAAGTCCTTTAAATGTGATCCTAGGAAACAGTAAAAGTTTAGAAGTGCAAGGAAAAGGTACTGTAAACATTGAAAAGCTTATCGAAGGAAAATGGTATAGTTCAACAATAAATGATGTGCTTTATGTTCCAAGTTTAACCAAAAATTTATTATCAGAAGGAGTTTTAACCCAAAAGGGAATGAAAATTATTAAAGAATTTAATAAGGCAAATATATATCTCAAAAATCAGCTGGTTGCCTGCGCAATACAACAAGACTCAAATAAACTTTATAAAATGTTTTTTCGAACCAAGCATGAACAAACCAGTGAACTCAATGTAACAGAAAAATAAAGTAGTAGCCTACAAATATGGCACGAAAGATTGGAACACATAAATGTTCAATATTTGAAGGAAATGGTGAATAAAAATTTGGTTAATGGTGTTCAAAAGAGGGACTTTGACAATTTTGATTGTGAAGACTGTATTTTTGGGAAGCAACACCGGAAGACTTTTAAGAATTCATTGAGGCCTCGTAAAAGTGCTCCAGGTGAATTGGTTTACAGTGACATATGTGGACCATTTCAAACTCCATCAGCTTCAGGTGCTCGATACATGCTACTCTTCAAGGACAGTTGCACAGGTTATTTAGTAGCTTATTTTATAAAAAATAAAAGTGACACACTTGATTGCTTCACCGAATATAACAACAAAGTAAAAAACAAGATTTGGACACTCAGTTATGGCTTTACATGTAGATAATGGACGTGAGTACATAAATCATGAATTTAGTGAATATTTGAAGAAAGAAGGTATAGAATTGGAAACTACAGCACCCTACACACCAGAACAAAATGGAAGAATTGAAAGAGAGAATCGCACTGTCATAGAAAAAGTCAGAACCATGTTGATAAGTGCTTGTGCACCCCATTATATCTGGGCAGAAGCTGCAAACACTGTAGTTTATCTCCTAAACCGAGTACCATCGAAACAAATTCAGAAAACACCTTTTGAAAATTGGACAGGTGAAAAGCCCTATCTTGGACACATCAAAATATTTGGTTGTGTAGCCTATGCACATTAGCCCGACCAAAGAAGGAGGAAACTCGATCCAAAGAGTGAGAAACTAATTTTTGTTGGTTATGATAGAAATTCAACAAATTACAGACTATTAAATCCAAACACCAGAAAAATTACAGTTTCTTGCAACGTAAAATTCAATGAAAAATGTATGGGGTTTCAAAAAGCACAAAAGAGGGATGCACCAGTGTTAGTAGAGATTGAAAGTGACACTGAAAATGACATGAAAATCAAAACGTTCAAAACAATCGAGAGGAAGATATTGACAATAAACAACCGATTGAAAGTGACAGCGAAAGTGAAAACATTGGTAATGTAAACAACAATATTGATCCAGATGTTACTGTAAATACACCTATTCCCAAGTTGAGACCGTCAAGATCAATAAAATTACCAGAAAGATTTGGAGATTATGAATTGAATTTGGTAGAAGTCAATATTCCTACTACATATGAAGAAGCTGTGACTGGAAAAGATGCTGAGGAATGGAAAAAGGCTATTGAAGAAGAAATTCGAGCCCCGAATGAAAATAAAACTTGGATACTGCAAGACTTACCTGACGGCAAGAAGGCTATTGAGTCAAAGTGGGTGTTTCGTGTGAAAGATGAAAATCAAGATAAACCTGCTCGTTATAAAGCAAGGTTGTGTGCAAAAGGTTTTGCACAACAAAAACATATAGATTATACTGAAATTTTCTCACCAACTACTCGTTATGATACTATCCGAGTATTATTATCAGTTGTTGCAAACAAGAACTATTCAATTAGGCAATTCAACATAAAAACAGCTTTTCTCTATGGGGACCTAAATGAAGAAATATATATGAAAGTGCCTAAAGGTTTTTCAACAATCAATAATAAAGTGTGTAGACTTCTGAAGTCATTGTATGGATTAAAACAATCTCCAAGATGTTGGAATCAAAAATTCAACTGTGTTCTAACACAATATGGTTTTAAACAATTTGATTCAGAAAAGTGTGTCTACAGAGGTACTGTAAATGGTGACTTAGTATTGCTCGTTTATGTTGACGATGGACTGCTCCTATCTTCGAGTGAAAATGCACTGGAAATCGTTTTAGCAAAATTACAAACAAACTTTGAAGTTAAAGTAAACATCAAAGTTAACAATTTTTTTGGACTCGAAATAGTACAAGAAGAAGACTATATTTTTATTCATCAAGAAATTTATATCAATAAACTCATTGAAAAATTTGGTATGCAAGAAGCAAATCCTGTGGATATACCGGCTGACCCGAATCAGGATTTAACTAGAAATTCAACTGATCATTCATTTGTTGGCCCATATAGAGAGCTAGTTGGATCTTTAATATTTGCTGCCATTGTATCAAGGCCAGACATTTCCTATGCAGTGGGAGTTGTGAGCAGATTTTTAAACAATCCAACAAATGAACAATGGAATGCAGTGAAAAGAATAATCAAATATTTGAAACGGACATCAAGCTATGGTATAAAATATAAAAAGCTAGAAAATTGGGATCTAGAAGTATTTTGTGATTCCGATTATGCCACAGACAAAGAAACAAGAAGATCTATAACAGGTTATGTCTTCAAAGCAAGTTTAGTGATGGTCCGATAACATGGTGTAGCAAAAGACAACAAGGAGTATCTTTGTCAACAACCGAAGCTGAATATGTGGCAGCTTGTCAGGCAACAAAAGAAGCTATATGGCTACGCAGATTGATGCAAGAAATTGGAATTACCTTTGATCATCCCACAAAGCTATATATTGATAATCAAAGTGCTATCAGATTGATTAGTAATCCAGAATTCCATAGTCGAAGCAAACACATCGACATCAAGTTCCATTTTATACGAGAGAAGTACCAAAGTTGTGAAATTGAGCCCGAGTATGTTAATACGAAAAATCAAGAAGCTGATATTCTTACTAAAGCCCTACCTCGTGAACATTTTCAAAACCTAAGGTACAAGATGGGACTGCAAAATTTGCATTAAAAAGGAACTGAAATACATAATACAAAGACTATTTTATAGAAGAATTAGGTTTATTTGGAATAATCAAAAAGTATTGGAAATATTAAATTTTGTGTATTTCTCTTATTTCAGTATGCATTGTATAATATTTTCAGTTTGGCAATATTGTTTTATGAGCTTGACATTTTGTTATAGTTTTTGACAAGTGTCAAATATAATCCTTGTAGAAGTGTAGCTTGCTCCTGTAATTTTCCTTGTAATTCATTATTAAAAGCTCCTGCAGTAAAGTTTTCGTGCTTAATAGATTTCTTTAATTATAAGAAACCTGAAACTCCGAAAAAAAACGTCATAATCAAGCTTGTAGATAAAATAATTTTATTGAGGGGCATTATTATTAGTTGACAAAAACTGTTAGTCAGTCAGAATTGTAAAAAGTTATGGGTTTCATTCTGCAAAAATTTGTGTATTTTTGAAATTTCGCCGCCTAGGGCGCCTAGCCCTCTTCATCCTTTGAAAATTTGTTTCTAATTGAAATATATAATAATTCACTTCCTAGGATAGTATATGTAGACTAGGGTCAAAATACCCTCGTACTGTGCCGTTATAGCCGTTGTAGGATGTAAAAACAATGCCTCCGAATATACAATATGAACGTAAATAAATGTCTTTATAATTTATTGAACTGCAAATCAAACAAAAATATAACTAAAACATCGAGAAAATATCAAAACAAGAAATCATGACACTCCAACTCCCATACAAACAAATGGGATAAGGTTGTTGTCTTACCTCCAGTGTCAATTTAGTGACGTTACGTGCACGAAACCAATTAGACGTGTTAATTAAGCGAGAATATATTTCGTTAAAAGTAGTGTCATGTGTGCTTTATAAACAACCCGGATATCCTTAAATACAAGTGTTTTTAGAATTACGCTTTTCTTCTATAGGATTTATAATTTTTAGTTAGCTTTCCACATCAATAACAATTTAATTACATAATAATTTTTGTCCATTTGCTAACTATCTCGTTCATTTCCAAAACTATTTAATAACATTTGTTTACATAAATTTATCAAAAATGCTCATTATCGTCTTATTTTGAGATCAATATTCACATAATATGAATGAACTCTAAACTTGCTGATAATAGCTCATCAAAAAGCATTAGTAAAATATTTACCAATTAAGAAGAGAAGATAATAAAATGTAGAATTTATTCCATTAAATAATCATTTCACGGAAGTGCTTACATCATAATATAAGTATCAATATTTCTTTGAGAACAAACCTTATTAAAAATTATCAGTTTTTATTTTAATCACACTGTAAACATTTATAAAAAAAAGTATTATATAGACCTAGCTCAAACTATTACATCCAGTATAAGGTCTTTTGAGTTCCTTGTCGCTACATTTAAAATAATAAAACAATGGCCGCCAAAATTAGCTTGCTCTTTGTTTGTGCTTTTGTGCTCTTCCAAGTAAGTAACTTTTGTTTCATTTAATTAAATTTCTATTTTATGTTTTTATTTAATTTTGTTTTAGTTTTTGTCGTCTGAGGCTACTGTGGTCCGTAGGGAAGTAGAAGCAGCTCCACAGAAAAACGATTTGGAAGAAGCTTTCAACAGTTTCAAACAAGGTGTCGAGGATATATTGAAGAAAATCCAAGTAAGTTTATTTTTTGAAATTTAATAGTAATAGTAATAATGTATCTATGAGTGTTAATATGTATTTTTGCTTTATTTTAGAGCAATGAATTGGTCCAAAACGCTTCAAAAAGCATAGACGAATTCGGCAAACAAGTGAAACTAAAATCCGAAGAGCTCGTTCAAAAAATCAAGGATAACGCTGCCTCCACACCTGCGCCTTGAGTTCAATATTTTAATGTATAATTAAAATAAATCAAAATTTTCTCTGACCTTTTTGTTTTAAATAAAGTGTATGCTTTCTTAGCCTGGCCATAAGGCTGTGATTTCAAAAACGTACCTGTCTTATTAATGAATATTTTTTTCGCTTTCAAAAAATTTTTGTTATCCAAAATCTCGATTTGGGTTATGTTTAAAAATCAAATACCTCAAGTTGGAGAAATTGTGCACAATCACGCAACACTGCCTTGCTTGATAACTAGAAATTAAATTCGAGATGAGCGGAAAAAACAATTCTATAATTCTAGAAGTAACGACACGCTATAAAACGGAGTCGACAACCGCGAGCGGAAAAGTGTTATAATTTTAATAATGCTAGTTTTGTCGTGATTTCTGTAATTATTTACTTGAACAAAGCTGGTCTCACTTATTAACAAAGTCGTATGCATTTCAGTATATTTATTGCTTCTGCTGATCAAAATAGCAAATAGGTACCAATATTTCCATAAAAACTATTCTCAAATAAAACTCAAAAATAGAAAATACAAAACCATTTATTTTATCCAATCACATTTCGCAAAAAATAAAACAAAACTCAGTCACACACCATATTGTTTCAATAATACATATGTCAATAAAACTAACTATACCTATTTATTATTTTTAAAAACTCCTAGTTTTTAACAGCTAGGTTTTTCTCCAAGTCAGTTTTTAAGTTTTTGCTGACTTCGATAATGTTGTCCATCAGGGTTTTGGCAGCGTTGCTCAAGTCAGTTTTCACTTCTGGAAGAAAATGAGAATTAAATTTTTTACAACAAAAAAATTATGTTTTCTTACTGGTTGCTTCAGGTTCAGCAGCCTTAGCGAGTTTTTCAGCTTCAGCAAGAGCCTTGTTCAAACCTTCGTCAAGGTTGGCTTTGATTTCCTTGGCTTTTTGGACAGCTTCTGGTCCAATAGCGGCTTGAAGTTTGGTAGCGGCGTTGGAAAGGTTTTCTTTGATTTGGTTGACGATTTGTTCAACATCACCTTTGTGTTCTTGAGCCTACAACAAAATACAAAGTTTAAGAAATATTGATGGGTTTAATTGATTGATTCTTACCTGTTTGCTCAAGTTTTCTACGGCATCCTTAACTTTAGTAGCCAATTGTTGGGTGGTTTTGGTTAAAGTTTCAGATACTTGTTTGGAGTCGGGTAAGTTGCCTTCGATGAGGTTGCTGACGTTGCTGACAACTTCGCGAGCATTGATTGCCAATTGGTCGATTTGGGATTTTTCAGCTGATGGTCTAGCAAATACAGCCTGAAAAAATAAATTCTAATTACAGCAAATTGCAGTTTTAGACCAAGGAGTTTTAACTTTTGCAATGAACCTCAAAAGTTGAATTTTCTTGCTCCCATCATAAAATGAGATTGCGGGGCAAAGCTATATAAAGTAACCAGAATACCCAGACAGCACAGAAAGTCTCAAAGACGTCTTTTTTAGGGTTGCATTACGTCTGAACGTCTGGAGACCAAAAAAAGACGTTTAGAAGAACGTAAAGACGTCTTTAGGCAGACGTCTGAAAGACGTTGGGTTTTGTAACACACGACGTCTTTAATATGTCTTTAAGATGCCTAAGCAAGACGTTTTGAATGTCGTTTGTGGACATCTTGCGACTGGAAACCATTCAGAACACTTTAGAACTTTAATAAACCTTTTGAAAAGTTTAAAACACTTAAAATTCAATTCAGAATTTCCAGAAGCATTGTGCAACGCTTCAGAACATTTTGGAAATTTCAGAACTATTTTAGAATTTCCCAAAACATTCAAAAACCAATTTACAATTTCCAGAAGCATATTTTAGAACAATTCAGAAGTTTGAAACCCATTTTACAACCCTCCAAAACACTCAAACACTCTAGAATCTCCAGAAATATTTTGAAATTTGGGTTAAAAGTTACAAAACGTCTCTCAGAAGGGTTTCAAGAGCAAATTTAGACTGCTGTAGGATTTTAGACCCTAAATAAGCATCCAAATCAGAATGTTCAGGAGCATTTTGGAAAAGTTTAGAAACTTCAGAGGTACCTATTTTAGAACAATAAGAATTCAATTTAGAACTGGAAACCTTTTAAAACTGCTTTGAACCAATTTAGAACACTTTGAAGCTTCAATATAGGGCTCTACAATACTTAAAAATCTGTCAGAACAATTTAGAAATTACTGAAAAACTTCTTAAATGCTCCAGAACTCTTCAAGCACAGTAAGAACAATTTAGAACTCCAATAAGCCATCTAGAACGTTTCAAAACACTCTCAAGCAGCATTTTGAAAGACTCAGAACAATTTAAAAACCTCCGAATTATTTCAGATAACCTAGAGCCTGGAATAGACTAAAATTGAAAGTTATGAAATGAGTACCTAATAATAAGGAAATATTAGCAAGAAAATGTTTCTCTTTCAATTAAAATTCTTGAATTTTCATAATTTTTCCTATTCCAGGCTCTTGATTTTTCCTTATGTCTTTATTCCTAATTTTCTTTTGGCTCTTGAATTTTTTCATTCCAAGTTCTTAAGAGCCTAGCGTTTGGAATAGACAAAAATTGAAAGTTATAAAATGAGTAATAATATTGAAATATTATTCCTGAAGTCCCTGAAGACGTATTTAGGCAGACGTCTGAAACACGTGGGGTTTTGTAACATACGTCGTCTTCAAGATGCCTTTAAGACGTCTTGAAAACCTTAACATGCAAAAATAATCACAGTGACTTGAAACTTTTAGGATTTATGAATTGAAGTTTCCTCTTTGTTAAAAAGTTCATTTGAAGTTGATTTGAAGCTGGGGGGAATCTTTTTCTTACGTTAATGCATGCAAAAATGATTAAAATCTGCAAAAATCACTTGTGCAAAGTACTTCTTATGATAACAGTGACTTAAAACTCTCAGGATTTATGAATTGAAGTTTCCTCTTTGTGGAAAAATTAATTTGACGCTAATTTCAAGCTTTTAATTAAATTTGGAAGCTTTTTCTTACGGTAATGCATGCAAAATGATTAAAATCTACAAAAATCACTTGTGCAAAGTACTTCTAATAATCACAGTTACTTGAACCTTTCAGGATTTATGAACTGAAGTTTCTTCTTTGTGGAAAAGTTAATTTGAAGTTGATTTGGAGCTCCAAACCAAATTTAGAAACTTTTTCTCACGTTAATGCATGCAAAAATGATTAAAATCTGCAAAAATTCCTTGTGCAAAGTAGGTACTTCTAATGATCACAGTGACTTGAAACTTTCAGGATTGAATTGAAGTTTTCTCTTTGTGGAGAAGTTAATTTGAAGTTGATTTGAAGCTCCAAATTAAATTTAGAAACGTGTTTAAGATGTCTGTGTGCTGTCTGGGTATAGCCCCAAGTCATGTTTTATTGTATATCCAATAACATAAGCGATTTAAATAATTTTGTAGAAGTCTAGATATTGGAAAAAAGATTAAGCAACCTAAAAATTGATGAATTATGCCTACACTTTCAGAACAGAATAAACAAACTAGGTGTTGTAGAATGCTTTCATAGAGCTTTAGAGAAGATCAGAACAATTTGCTATAGACACTAAATTGACAAAGAGATTTTGGGGCTGAGCAGCCTATTCTGGTGAAATGATGAATGAAAATGCTGCTAGGAGATTTGATTTGAGGAAAGGGGACTTTGTGAGATTTCTATGCGAATGTTGAGATAACAAACTATCCAAACGAAGGAAAATAGAAGAAAGTGCCAAAGGAATGAAAATGCTGCTAGGAGATTTGATTTGAGAAAAGAGGAGTTTGTGAGAATTTCTATGCGAATGTTGAGATAACAAACTATCCAAACTAAGGAAAATAGAAGAAAGTGCCAAAGGAATGAAAATGCTGCTAGGAGATTTAATTTGAGAAAAGGGGACTTTGTGAGATTTCTATGCGAATGTTGAGATAACAAACTATCCAAACGAAGGAAAATAGAAGAAAGTGCCAAAGGAATGAAAATGCTGCTAGGAGATTTGATTTGAGAAAAGGGGAGTTTGTGAGAATTTCTATGCGAATGTTGATTTAACAAACTATCCAAACTAAGGAAAATAGAAGAAAGTGCCAAAGGAATGAAAATGCTGCTAGGAGATTTGATTTGAGAAAAGGGGAGTTTCAAAGTTGATTGAAAAAAGTAATAATTGGATGTTGTGGTTAAGAAACCGAACAAGAAGAGGGTCTCAGGTCAAGGTTCCTAAAGTTAATACGTTGCCTGGTAATGAGTAACTTGATGACACATCTGGGGTGCCTTATGGAGATTTGTATTATGTTGAGGCACCCCAGATGACGTCATTAAGTTATCAGGCAACCTACCTCTTTCAAAAAACCTTGGTCTCAGATGAGATATGTCAATGATTTTGAAAGAAGAAAAGAAAACAGTATTGACAGATTTATTTTAAGACACAAAAAAAAAACGATGGAGTGATTCATCATTTTTTACCAAAACAACAAGTCATCTTTGGATTATCATCGGGATACGGATGCAAAACAATTTGAGCTTGAATTAAGAATAATGAAATCGTCGTGTTTCAAGTTTCTACCAAAAATTTGTTGAATTCAACGTTAGTTATATCTAAGAACGCGAAAGAAAAAATCCAAAACTATATGATCATAATGTAGATTTTTTGAAGGCAAATTGAAAGATAAGTACTATTTGAGATTGCCGTCAAAAATGGACTTTTCTTCCATATTTTAGGATATAATCTGTATCTTGGAACAGCGGCGGATTTAGGATTCCTTCTAGGGGGGGGCGATCCATCAGGGCCTCAGGCTCAGATAAGAAATAATAAAAAAACGACTTAAATATACAGAGTGGCAAAAAAGTCGCGTTTAATACCTGTAACTTTCTAATTACCTCGTATACGAAAAAGTGACCTTAATGAAAGTTGCTCAGTAAATGAGGGACATAAAGCTTCCGTATTTTTTGCTCGGTATCCGTATCGGTATCGTACTGCGCATGTGCAGAAGCGATACGGAGGCCGAGATACCGTACGTACAACGTAACGTTACGGCCCTCTCGCGGTATCCGTATCGGTAACGTATCTTGACATTCCTGACGCATGTGTCAAATTTCAAATGAATATAACCTCCCTTTTCTTCCGGGTTGATTTAATTTGTTTAGTTTATACTTTCTTGAGTTTCTTGTGTGTTTAGTGCTTCTCTATCGCAAAAAAATAACAATTTTAAGGTTAGATATAGAAACGCCGAAGTTTTGAGACAAAAATGTCTAGGTTATGAAATGCGTTTACGTTTACCGGAACAGGGAGCGCTTTAACAGCCTTTTCGCTTGTCAACGTATCTAGTTGCGTTACGGATACCGATACCGATGAATTATTTCAAGTAGCTTTATGTCCCTAATATTTCCCACAATTCTACTTAAACGTATTGCCTGTGTCACTTCTGGTTTGTTTGCTATCTAGACCAACTTTCTTTTTTTCAAATAAAACACCCTGTATGTGATTGCATATTTGGATTCTACGTAGCAGATTTCATGTGATATACCCTATACCTAAGTTCAACTGTTTTGGAAATATTGACAGTTGAACATTGACTTTTTGCAACTTTGACAGGCTGTAAAACCTGAACGGTTAATTTCAGAGGAAAACCGATTTCACATTCCTATCTTAGATTTTCATAAACTATCATTTGACATCAACATTTAATTTAATCGGAGATTAAATTTAATTGGAATTTTCAATTATAGATTAAATTCAAAGTTGGTGCGGATTTACGTCATCCGCAGTCGATTCGCTCCCAGCTCGCTGCTGCCAAACGTATTTAAAAGTATTAAAAATTTGGAAAAATAGCAAAAACCATATGGAATTTCATGTTGGATAATGCTTGATGAATATGTTTGTGTTTTCGTTAAAAATTTCGTTGTTGCGTCGCTCAATAGGGGGGGGCGCGCGCCCCCCGCGCCCCCCCTCTAAATCCGCCACTGTCTTGGAATGAAGCCAATGGACAGAAAAGAAAACCCATTCTCCCAGACTACATACAGAAGTCTGTGAGAGAGGAAAAAAAAAACATATGGTGTATTATTATTAAATTCTAAAATTTATGGATGCCTGCAGGTTCACCAGATTTATTTCCATTCGATAAGCTGATGGAAAATAGTATTATATTGTAAATATGAAAGTGGATGTATTATTTATTACGTTGTTATGTGAGAAAATTAAAAATTATATCATGCGGGTTAAGATAAATTTTCCTTTATACTAGAAAGTATTACATATTTGATTTCGCTTTTTCTATCAACTCAGACTTACGTAATTGCCCATCCAGATATAGTACGCCCTGTATATCACTTTAAATAGAAAAGGATTATGAAATCGTTAATATGCCTATTTTAGCCACCTTATTTGCAGTGTAAATTTTTATTTGTATTCTCGAAACGCTTAGCAAATGAAAATTAAACTTCCTGTTTTTTCAAATATGGTACCAAGTAGTTGTTTAATATTTTGCTAACATTGGCATTTTTATGTGCAACAACTTGCAGAATTCGTCAAATAATACAGGAATATTATGAAAATGGTGTAATTTTAAATTTGAATTGAAACAGAAAAGATTCGTGAAAATAATAATAATTTAGAAGATGTTTCAATTGTTTTTCAAATTAAATCAATACTACTTTGCACAGGTCAAGTTCAAAGGCTATCATTGATGAAGGTCAATTTATTATAAAATTTGTTATGGAAACTTTAATCTAATCCATGAACATTTTAAACTTCACATAATTATTGATTGCAATTCTAGAAATATTGAAAAAGATCATGACAGTTTGAATGATAAATGATAGAAGAGGAATGTTTGAACTTAAATACTTCGAAATTCTGTTTTGACTGGGTAGTGTAAAGGCAATTTTTCAGGAAAATTCTCCTTTCGCTATACAAATTATAATATAATTTTACCTTTGTATGTATAACCAAGTACTTATAAAAAATATACAGAGTGTACATAAATAATGTCACATGAGGAATCACACAAAAATGGAAAGAAAAACGTATTATTTACACCCTGAATTAGAATTTTGCATGCAATCTTTATAATAAAAAAGGATGTTTGAAATTTAGCTTTAATTCAAAAAGGAGGAACAATTTCAATCAAAAAACTATATAAAAATTCAATTCAATTTAGACAAAATTCTTACCTGGAAAGCCACGAAGGCAATAACAGAAGCAACAACAAACTTATGCATTTTGATTTTTTTTGCTTTTCTTGATTAGGTACTTTGTATCACAACTGAGCTACTCTGACTGACTGACGGTACCGCCGATAAGGGATGGCCTTTTTATACAACCTCTGCCGCTCAGGCGGTCTGGAGGTTGTTTTGTTGTTCATTGTTGGTGCCACCCTTGCCCCCTGCTATCATGAGGAACAGTGTAGATCCGGGTAAATAGTATTATATAATTCTACTATTTATGATGGTTTATGTTTTTATTATAGATATTTTGTGAAAAGTAGTTGAATTTAAAATAGAGGTACCTTTTTGGGTTTTATGATTTCATGGTACCAAAGGTAGGTAAATAGATTTTGCTATTGAGGGTTTAGGAAGAAATATTGCAAAATAGAATTTTGCGAAAATCATTATATTATCGAAGTTTATTATTGAAGAAGATTCAATTTTTTAATAAATCTATGAAAAGAAACTGCCAAAAATAATTCCATATATGGTTTTTTCAAGTAGAAAAACACTTCCTACCTACCCTCCAGTTTTTCCTATGTAATTATAGGTAGGTAAGTATTATTTTTAATTATTCAAGTGTGACCCCACTTCAACATACGACGACAAGAGCATCGAAATATTCTATGAAAATATCTCAAAGGCTATGGAAGAACATAAAACTTGCCTTACTCTAGTAATTGGAGATTTCAATGCCAAACTTGGTAAGAAGCTGAATAAAGAAGAGAGTAAAATAGGGGACTTTAGGTACGGTGAGAGGAACGATAGGGGAACTACCTTGATGAACTATCTAGAAGAAAAACATCTAGACAGTAAATTTGACAGGTGACAGCTCATTTCCGCTCATTATATCTTGCCATTTCATTATGAAAAGACTTACGCCAGAACAACGCTTGCAAATTGTACAAATTTACTTCGAAAATCGTGATTAATTTCGCGAAACTTCCGCTATGTACGTTACGTCCATTTTACGGTCGACATAATCGTCCATCCCAGCAGGTTAATCGGACAACCAATCGTTTTTGCACTACGCATACTCTGATTGATAATCCAGAAAAACTCCTTGCTTGGTGTGCTTGTTGGGTTAGTGGAATCATTGGCCCATATTTCTTTAAAAATTATGTCAGCCAGAAAGCGACAGTCAATGGAGAGCGGTATCGATTCTTGATTACTGACTTTCTTGTTCCCCAGTTGAATGGCGTTAGTGTGGAAAAGTTCTGGTTCCAACAAGATGGCGCAATATGCCACACAGCGCGTGACACAATCAACTTATTTCAGGAAACATTCGATGACCGTATAATTTCGCGCAATGAACTTGTGAATTGGCCTCTACGGTGGTGTGATCTCACACCTATGGATTCAATTCTGTGGAGATATGTGAAGTCGCTAGTGTACGGTGATAAACCAACAACGTTGAATCGGCTGGAAGCCAACATTTGCCGTGTTATTGCCGATTAACGTTCCCAGATATTCGAAAAAGTGGTCCAAAAGTGGACTCCCAGACTGAGCTTTGTCCGAGCCAGTCGCGGCGCTCATATGCCCCAAATCATTTTTAAGCACTAATGGCATAAAATTAACTTTCTATTAAAGTCAATATTATGGCCGTTTACATGATTTTTATGAGTTTTATTCCAGTTCAAAGTTCTATACCTCTAAAAAAAACACCCTTTATATGCGATGAACTCGTTCTATAAGAAGAAACCGCAAAGAAAGTGGTCATGGCTCAGCCTTAATGGAACAACGAGAAATGAAATTGATTACATACTGTCCACTGAAAAATATATTATTAAAGATGTAACTGTCCTGAACAGATTCACCACAGGCAGCGATCACAGAATGGTCAGAGCAAAAATACGTATCGATGACAACTTTCAAATGAAAAGAGAAACTAATGGAAACAGCGGACAACTATACAAAGAGAGACTGAAGGAACAACTGACCCAGAACTTGAACAACGATAATGAAAATATAGATAAAATATACGATACATTATGCCGGTTTTCCACCAAACAGACGAAACAAAAACAAAACCCAAACTCAGACTTTTCCCAAACATTTTCAAGACTAGCGTGTTTTCAGACAGTTGGAGTTTTGTTTCCCCAAGACAACAAAACGTAATCCGTTTGATGGAAACAAGAGTTTTGTGTTTATTTCAGTTTTGTTTTTGTTTTAAAACATGTTTTAAAACAAAAACTCAACAGTTCGTTTAGTGGAAAACCGGCATTAGCGGAAACCATGGTTAGGATAGGAAAATAAATCGCACAAAAAGATAAAAAGAAGGAAGATTGTATCTTAAGCTGGAGACCTTGGGAGAATAAAAGAAGTAGAGGAAGACCCCAGATGAGATATGCTGATGACCTGAAGAAGCACGCTGGAACCAGATGGATCAACATGGCAACAGACAGAGAGGAATGGAGAAGACTGGGGGAGGCCTACGTCCAAAGATGGACTGAAGAAGGCTGAATAGATAGATAGATAGATTATTTTGAAAGAATTTGCTCCTGCGTCTGTTCTGTTGAGAAGAACCAGACTTTGCTCTCTTCATTTATAAAGCTAAATATTTTTTTCGAAGCAGGTCTAATATTTGTGAAATCTCTTGAGTAGAATGAATATCAGAACCAGATTAATTCTCAAATACTTTCGATAAAAACAATCAAGAAAATTCTTATAATGCACGTAATAAACGAAGCATTTATTGCTGAAGACGCGTACAGCCATGGTCCTGTTGTAGGTGATCATACCAATCCTGTAAAGTTGCATAACAAACGTGATCTCACTAAATCAGGCTATATAAGTTTTCAATGGAAATGCTTCCTCAATTTGTAAGAGAGCCTTTACGCCACAGCATCCAAGACACTATGTACCACCAAAACCAACCTTCAATGATGAAATTGACAAGCTCAAGCTTACTGACAACCTATTTAGGATAACGAAGAAACTCAGCCCAACTATATTTCACCCAAAAAATTTAATCGCCATTGGGCACCTTTGATAATGATTACACCCAGTCGAAATATTCTCCGGGAATTTATCGGCAGTCTAAAATATTTGGCACTAAAAAAACAACCTTCTATCTCTATGAACTATTCAGCATTAAAAAAAGAAGTAGAAGAACAATTTTTTTAAATCAAATACACATAGCAGAGCTTTCCTTGAGAACGAAATAACCTGGAACTAAGGCCGAGGAAGCAGTTGTATTGAAGAAACTAAAAAAACTAAATGGCAGTTCTTATTCAGCAAACATTAAAGACCAAGCTATTGATTTATAAATCATGATCACATAAGATCTAAAAGATCAGTTGGCAATTTGAAAAGAAAAAAAAAAAAGGACAATCATATTAAGTTCCTATTGTAGGTTATATTAGTCCTTTTCCACGACAACTAGCCTTATCTTCCAAATCAAGCGATTCAACTATTGGAAATGACTAAGAAACCCAGAATGTTGATGTCAAAATACAGACTAACACTAAGAAAATTTCGGAAAATGTTTCCATTGTAAGGGAAAAGCTGTATTTGTTATTGGCTCACAAAAGGCGTTAATTGATCTAGCTAGAGGAAGATGATATGGAACATAATTCAATTTTAAGATAAAATTTCAAACAAACTTTCTGGTAATTACTGTGTGCCAGCGTATTTTAGCATTTGAAAACTCAAAAAAAACTCAGCAATTTTCGGCTAGTTCCTATGAAGCTCACGTTGTCAAAGTAGACTATGATGAGCTTCAGGACGAAGTATAAGAATATTTGACTCAAAAAATGGATGACCAATTTAGCTAGGTATTTAAAACCTTGTTCTATATTTATTTTTAATTTAATAAATTTTGTGAAACATAACGCGAAAGACTAGTGCATTTAATATTTATTGTTTGCCCACGGGCCCTTGACCAGCGTAAGACAAAATACATGGATATTCACTGATAAAGCTGAACTAAACTACTTAAAAAATGGAGAACTACAATAATAAAAATGAAATAAAACAGATTTCTTATACAAAAAGTCCAGCCTGTCTGAAGTTCAGATCAAAACTGGACAGCCTCACAAGAACATATAGCCGCCTACACTCCGAAAAAAAATAGGTGTATAACATAAAAAGTTATTAGCGATTACGTAGATTGGTTATATGGACATGGAAATTCACTACGATGATGAAATAATTTTGGATTGAGGCCAGAAAATTCCTTTTATCAACATTTAACAGTAATTTTTTTCATTATTATGTCGATTTGGAACGTTTTCCTACGTTGTCCGACGCGAACGCCTATTCTCCACCTCCTTCGATCCTATCAAACCTGACATTTTCTGTTAGGTTTTTTTGACTCATTGATCTCTGGGCTAACTTCTGCCAACCTAGCTTAGAACGCCCCCGTTTTCTACTCTCTATTAGTTGCCATTCTAGGACCTGCTTTATCAATCTTTTCTCGTTCAACAACTGTACGTGGCCGTATCATTTTAGTTGTCATCCGTTTATGCTTCCCTCAATTCTCATTTTTTCTTTTATAGTCTCATTTCTAATGTGGCTTCTTCATTTCGAGACTTTCCTTTATTGTTTTGTGTTAAGCAACAAATCTCTATTCCATACAGCACGATTGTTTCATATATTCTTGAACTTTACTTTTTTATTTAACTCTCTGCTCCGTAAAGTACTGTTAAGACATCCAATATCCTTTCTTGCTTTTACTATTCTTTCCTCCAGTTTTTTACAATCTGTTCCTGTCTCATCAAATGTGACACCTAAGTATACCATAATAATTGCATGTAAAAATTGTTTGTCCCTTGTTCAACTCTATCTCACTTGCTTCATCTCCAATACATAAGTACCTACTGCGTCTTGTCTATGTTCACTATGCTTCACGTTTTCAGGTTTTAGAGCTACTGCGATATACAGTATGTCCGAAATTCGAGTCTCTACATGGGGATTTCGCTTATTATGAGAGATACAGGGTGGCTCAAATTAGGAAAGTCTTAGGGAATTTATTGCTCATTTATATCCTGTTGTTAAATTTACTTCAAAGTTTTCTGTTTCCTAAAAATCCGAAACATTATTGAGACACTTTTTTGACAGGGATATTTTCGTGATTTGAAAACATTCCGA